GCAGAATTACACCAAAGAGACCAATCGCTTTCATAGTGTATAGACATTATGTTAAATATATAACAATAATAATGTAATTACTTTTTGTTGACTTCGAATGAAATTGTTCATTTTTTCCAAAGACATGAATCATCAATTTGATTTTATATATAAAATCCTATCAGTTGACAACAACAATTTAATTTAATTGCTTTAAAATAATAACTTACCTTTATGTAATTTATTTTGTTCGGTTATTTATTATTTGTATGTAATGGAGAAGACGTTCTAAGTTGCAAAACTTGTGTCTAATCCTATTGTCAATGTTTTTGGACAATAAAATATGTTTAAATATAAATCATAGGTTTGAACGTTGTTTTCAATTTAGACCTGTTATATTTTTTCGTTTGGGCTTGTATTATATTTGCCTTCGGGTTTATATGATCCGTTTATCCTATTTTGACTCCTCAAAATTCAGGAGTCGATCCTAAATTGAGGTAAATTATTTGGCCTTCCAAAAACCATTTCGATTCCTAACATCACTGAAGAGACATTAATTGTCGAAATCCGGATATGGTGTACAAATGTTTGTACCTCATGTTTACGGTATACCATCTTTTCCGTAAGTTTATTGTGTTCTGTTTGGTAATAAATTAATAATAAGATCTATTTTGTTACATCTTGTGATCCGTTTATTTGGCAATCACCAATGGCAGTCAGCAGGGTTTAAGAACATCAGTTGTTCGACCTGGTAGTCAAATGCGTTTTGTTAAAATATACTTTTTCACTCATTTGGTATTTTGGAAAATGTTGTTTGTGCTGTATTTAGACCCCTCTAACAAGAAATTTGTTTTGCATGCACACGTATAAAAATTGCGGTTTTTATCCAACGCAATCATAGGTTTGAACGTTGTTTTCAATTTAGACTTGTATATATGCATGAGTTCGAATCCCGTTGAGGGAAGAACTAAAAATTTGCGAAAGCAAATTTACAGAATGATCTAACATTGTTGGGCTGATGTTTAGACGAGTTGTATATATATATATGGTGTACAAAAACCTTTGCACCTTTTGTTTGCGGTATACCATCTTTTCCGCAAGTTTATTGTTTTCTGTTTAAAATTAGTATTAAATTTATAATTAAGATCCATTTATTACATCGGTGATCCGTTTATTTGGCAATCGCCAATGGCAGTCAGCAGGGTTTAAGAACATTTGTTGTTCGACCTGTTAGTCAAATGCGTTTTGTTAAAATATACTTTTTCATTTTTTTGGTCTTTTGGAAAATGTTGTTTGTGCTGTATTTAGATCCCTCTAACAAGAAATTTGTTTTGCATGCACACGTATAAAAATTGCGGTTTTTATCCTACGCAATCATAGGTTTGAACGTTGATTTCAATTTAGACTTGTTTATATTTTTTCGTTTGGGCTTGTATTATATTTGCCTTCGGGTTTATATGATCCGTTCATCCTATTTTGGCTCCTCAAAATTCAGGAGTCTATCCTAAATTGAGGTAAATTGTATGGCTTTCCAAATACCGTTTCGATTTCTAACATCACTGAAGAGACATTATTTGTCGAAGTCCGGATATGGTGTACAAAAACCTTTGCACCTTTTGTTTGCGATATACCATCTTTTCCGCAAGTTTATTGTTTTCTGTTTAGTATTAAATTTATAATTAAGATGCATTTATTACATCGGTGATCCGTTTATTTGGCAATCGCCAATGGCAGTCAGCAGGGTTTAAGAACATTTGTTGTTCGACCTGTTAGTCAAATGCGTTTTGTTAAAATATACTTTTTCACTTGTTTGGTCTTTTGGAAAATGTTGTTTCTGCTGTATTTAGACCCCTCCACCAAGAAATTTGTTTTGCATGCACACGCATAAAAAATGCGGTTTTTATCCAACGCAATTATAGGTTTGAACGTTGTTTTCAATTTAGACTTGTTTATATTTTTTCGTTTGGGCTTGTATTATATTTGCCTTCGGGTTTATATGATCCGTTCATCCTATTTTGACTCCTCAAAATTCAGGAGTCTATCCTAAATTGAGGTAAATTGTATGGCTTTCCAAAGAAAGAGGCTTAACTCATCAGATGGATAAAAATACAAATACTACAAATACAAGTAGACGTGGTCGGGTACTTGTACATCCAAACAACAAAAAGACACTAAGTACAGATCTGAGAGTACTCGCAGTTACTGACAGCTAGTTCAAAGCCACTAAAAACTAATAAAAAAAAGCATGCATCTAAGACTAAATTATCAATCCGTACACATCCAACATCAAATGGATTTAGTGTAAAGACGTCATAAACAGTCAGAGAAAAACACGACCTTGTGCAATGCCAAGATACAGGTATCAACAGATTGTAGATCCATGAATGTGTATATGTATATAACAATAATATTTAGTTTGCTTTTAATTTACTGATAACAAAATCAATATTAGTACCAATAAAAACAATATTTAATGATCTAATTACAGTGTTGAACAATATTCAAAGATCTTACTACTGTGTTAAATTGATAACCTTTTAGAATATGTTTTGAAACAATCAAATAAGTCCAAATGAATCGTATCTAAATTTACGAACACTTCAACCAACATCCTCATTATAATTAGCAATAGGTTTTCTACATTACTGCAAAAATATCGTTACCAAATCTTTGTATATATAAAAGATTTTTCCTAGGTTTTATGATTTATTGAATGTTGTTTTTTAACTCCACTTTCAGCACTCTTTGCTTTATCATGGCGGATAACTTTTATTGGCGAATGAATCCAGAAATATCCAAACCGTAAGAAAGGGCCAAAGGATCATCACCGTCCAAAATAGGAAAATTTACAATAGAAAACTCAATCGTCTCTTGTGTCGTGAATGTGTATATGGAGTTTTCCTCTTACATCTATTATATCCAAAATCAAGAATACATACAACCTGTCGATAAACTATTGTGCTTAAACGAACATAAATGTTGTCAGTGTGAAATTTGACAGTTTTACACATTTCATCACGGTTCTAGTCAAATTGTATGTGTAGTATAAAGTGCTATATATATATGCGAGTTCCAACAAATAAATGTGCAATCAGATTTTAAGAAGGACCATTTGGTTATGTAATAAACCTTCTGTTTGATAAGATTATATCGTTTAGAAATTCGAAAAGAAATTGAAACTAGAGGCTCTAAAGAGCCTGTGTCGCTCACATTGGTATATGTGCATATCAAACAAATGACACTCTCCAACATTGTAGACGAGAATAGACAAAAATCTCTATTTTGTTGATCTTGTATAATTGATCTTTTAGTCCTTTTAGTTTCTCTCTATCTTCTTTAGTTTTGCTCAAAACACAAAAGAGGGTAAAACAAATCCTCATTTAAGGGCAATCGCTCCTATGAATAGTGACAGTCTACTATCTATATCGGCAAAATTTGACTTCTTAATAGATCTTGCCTTGCTGATCATTTTTGTGATTTAAAGTGTTTATTTATCTATTATGATTTAATATTAAGGCATAACGGAAAAAAAGATTATCTCTTAATATCATAGTTTTCATGATAATAGGTAAAATTTAAAAAAAAAAATGGTAAAATTTGTCATTTATGGGCAATAACTCCTATAAGAATTTTTCTAACAGTTTCGACGTATATAATGGACAATTGGTAGAGCTCATCATTCTGAACGTTTTTGCTCCTTTCAGATTTTTTCTATTTATAACGGTTCAAAAAATAATAGACAAAACTTGCATTTTACCACTATGTCCTATTTTTATGTCGGCCATGTTGGTTGGTATAGGCGGGGTCAACGGACATTTTTTTTAAACTAGATACCCTAATAATGATTGTGGCCAAGTTTGGTTAAATTTACCTCAGTAGTTTCAGAGGAGAAGATTTTTGTAAAAGATTACAAAAATTTACAAAAAATTGTTAAAAATTGACTATAAAGGACAATAACTCCTTAAGGGGTCAATTGACCATTTCGATCATGTGGACTTATTTGTAGATCTTACTTTGCTGTACGTTATTGCTGTTTACAGTTTATCTCTAACGTTATCTCTAACGTTATCTATAATTATATTGAAGATAATAACCAAAAACTGCAAAATTTTCTTAAAATTACCAATTCAAGGGCAGCAACCCAACAACGGGTTGTTTGATTTATCTGAATATTTCAGGGCGGATAGATCTTGACCTGATGAACAATTTTACTCCATCATATTTGCTCTAAATGCTTTGATTTCAGAGATATAAGCCAAAATCTATATTTTACCCCTGTTCTATTTTTAGCCATGGCTGCCATCTTGGTTGGCGGGTCGGGTCATCGGACACATTTGTTAAACTAGATACCCCAATTATGATTGTGGCCAAGTTTGGTTAAATTTGGTCCAGTGGTTTTAGAGGAGAAGATTTTTGTAAAAGTTAACGACGACGACGACGACGGACGCCAAGTGATGAGAAAAGCTCATTTGGCCTTTTAGGCCAGGTGAGCTAAAAATGACATTGTTTTCATATGCTTTATCATAAAAAGTCTTTAAACTAGTTTCCATAAATAAATTTAGAAAATGAAAACTAAAAGATGTTGCATATTAACAAACGCTGTAACAGCCCACCAGAGAGAACGAACATCCGCACGTGCACACTTTACGAACTTGAACGATGGACAAAAGCCGTAACATGCTGTAGGATTTGAAAATTCAGCTGCAATCATTTAACGTTCATTATAGGAACTAAACTGAATCAGGAGAGAACAGTCAGAATCTGTTTTAATGTAGAACTTCAAAAACTGTTCCAGGGTAGAACTTTCAGAATCTGTTCTAGTATAGAACTGTCCAAAGCTATGCTGGGGTACATCAGCTTCTGATTGAAAAGGTTTGGTTAAGGTGTCAGGTGAACTGTTCTAAAGACTATCCTGGAACGGTTTTCTTGACAGTTCCTGAGAAATTTAAACAATGGTTAGAACTAGTCCTATCTATACTAGAGACATAAAATATCCATTAGTTTTTCATTATTATATATACCTGTGTCGTGGTTTCGTCGCTCTGTAAATTAGACCATTCTAATTGCTGGACAAGTGACTGGATTTGTTGGGAAGCCATACCTAGTTTACTCATACGAATTGGATTCACGTTACAAATTGTCACCGCAGGAAATATAAGATTACTAAATCCCAATTCAATTTTTGTTTGTACAGGGAACTGCATGAATTGATTAATAAGATAGTACAAGTGTAAACCCATCCCTGCTGTACAAGTGACGAGAAGAAATGTCCATATGACCTTGGCGTACCATACTTTAGCACTGTTTATGTAGGCTACGCCCTGCATAGAAGTCTTCTCTGCAAATCGTTCAAGGAGACGTCTGAAAGACTTTGTTTTCCCTGTTGAATCCAAAGATTCTCTGCTTTTCTCATCCTAAAATAGACAATATAATATTTATAATTTAGAATTGCTCCACAGCCAAACCTAACTTTCATACCGTATTATTCAGTTAATATGGTTATAATTTTTAAATCCCTTAATATTTGTCATGCAAAGCTGACAAGTTAACCGATTGAATAGATCTGCCTGGAAATAAGACCATATAAAAAAGGAGATGAGGTATGCATGATATGATTGCCAATGAGACAACTATCTACCAAAGTTCAAATAAAATGGATGTAAGCAATTATAGGCAATCGTACGGCCTTCAACAATGAGAAAAACAAATACCGTATAGTCGGCTATAAAAGGCCCCGACATGAAAAATATGAAACAATTCAATAGAGAAAACCTACGGCCTAATGTATAACAAAACGGTTGACGAAAAACAAATATGACAGACATGAACCAACGATAACCACTGAATTACAGGCTCCTGACTTGGGACAGGCACATAAAGATTGAGGCGAGGTAAAACATGTTTGTGGGCGCTCAATCTTCCCCCTAACCTGGTACAGTGGTGTAACAGTACAACATAAGAACAAACTATAAAAATCAGCTGAAAAAGGCTAAACTCATCAGATCGATACAAAGAAGAAAAACCTCAAACATAAATGTCATTTTTACATACAATATTGTAAATTGTATCCGTACGATATTTAATCCAGGGACAAACATAAGGAATTTATTTGTATCTGAAGTTCAAATTTAAGTTAAAATTATTACTGTAATCTCTGAGATAAATAAAGTGTTAAAAGAGGAATTCAATACATATATTCAAATGGAAATGGCAGCTAATATATACAAATATATATAGTTAAATTAACTATGAACAGACGTGTTATCTAAACAATACAGATATTAATTTAAAATATTTTTCTAAATTCATAAAAATATAGCTATATTCTTTAGACCTTAACATTACATACTATAAATGAAAATAATCCATAATTTAATATACAGATGGATAGTTGTATAATATGTTGGAATATACTGTATTCTAAGAGATGACACTTTTTAACATTGTTACATTTTTTTTACATACAAAAAAGTAGTGGTCTTTATTACCTATTTCAGGTGTAATACCACCAAATCATAGTATGTCACATCCGGTTTAATTTTCATACGAAAAAGGCTCGAAAAAAAATATTCCCTTGAATTTTAAAGATGTTATCCCTGCATTTCCTTGCAGAAAAAATTTTCTGACTCATAAACATATATCTTGGGTGTTTCAAAGCACCAATCCTGTTTTATTTGGTGTTTCTATAAAATATTTTGGAAACTTGAGGTTACATAGTTACTAAAGTTTTTAAACAGGAAAAAAGGAGTGAAACTTTGATTGGTTAACTTCCAGTGACGATTATTATCTTATATGCAATGAAATGTTATGTGAAATTTTGTCTGTAGTACTGGACAGGATAAAACTTTACTCATGCCAAGTACATGTATTTCTAGTTTGAACCAAAGATAAATTCTGCACAATTTTTTTCAAAAGTGCCAATTTTACAAATTCTAATAGGGGAAAGACAATAGTGGTTTTACTCCTCCATTCAAGTTCATTGAATAACAAAAATCTTTGGTTTTGATTTGGAATATCCTTTTTATTTATTTTAAAATGATATTCGAAAATAATGAAAATACATAAATGTATATGAAAATATAGCTTTAAGACATCTTTTAGCTTTTTTGATTTGACGACATTTTTATAGCCTAAGGGTATCATAATGCTAGAATTTCTAAGTACACACATGAAGCTGTTATAGTTTAAATGTTTGTAAAACTTGAATGGCTTTGAGAATTTGCCTTAGTTTTTACACCCTAAATACTGCAACAATTAATAAAGTGTTCTACTGCATGTATGCAAAAGAAACTAAAGAATATACACCAGACAACACTTTCAATTAATACTAAGAAACATTCAATATATCAAAGGAATAGTGCTTTGTTGGTATTCTTTATGTTGACAGTTGTTTATAGGAGGCTTTCAGTATGTCTAACAATAGACATTAGAAGCTATTTGACACAATTAGTCGGTTCTGTTTAACTGACATTAATGATTCACGTCCTGCAAAAGGCACGTTTTTTTTGTTAAAACTCTGTGATAAGTACCTAGGTCAATGATTATCTATTAATCAATTTACACCATAAGTTAAACAAATAGTCTGGGTTAAAGATGAAATGGAGGGTGATCTTCTTTCAACTGGAACCTTTTATCTCCTTACATTATATTATAAGATTGTAGATTTTTTTATTCGGACGTAAAACTTAACGGTAGTCAAAAGTTCTGACTGTCCTTTTTTAGTAGCTGACTGATCTGTGTATTTAAAAACCGACCTTTCTTTTTAAAGTTAGAGTCAGGTTAACCTTGGAATAAGGGTTGTGTGACATTCACCCTACGTTACATATACGATGTAAAGAAAGAGTAGTTAAGTTCTTTCATACATTTGATCTATCTTACATCAATATTTTACACGTCTGCTACAAAATACAAAAAAAAAAACACTAAACAATAAAGTCGGCCAACATCAATATGCACGGATGCACAAAGTGAAATCAAATATCATATATATTTAAAAGCACTTGTCGCAAATGCACGGTTCTATTCAACACTAAATTTTAAATTAATTATCACGTTTCAAATTTAAACTATTTATATTATAAGTTCAAAACATGATTCATATAAGCAATAGACATCATTTCGTAAGAAGGACAAAGGTTTATTACTTTTCTTTAGAAAAACTTCATCTTTTCGACGAGTGTGTTTCTTTATCTCGTCTGTACTTCGAGGCCGTTTTGTGAGCATAACATCATAGTATCAAATACAGACTATGTGTCATTAACTTGTATGTCATTTGGTCTCTGGTGGAGAGTTGTCTCATTGGCAATCATACCACATCTCCTTATTTTTATCAATAAATTTTTGTAACTTTTTTCTATTCGACTTATGAGTTTTAATGTCAGCCTTTTTTCTCTCAAAAACTAAAAAGCATTTTTTGAGAAGATATTGTCTGACATATAAGCCTCGTATACCGACATTTGAAATCATTTAAACCAAAGGGAAATATTTCAATTTCTTACTATCTCGAAGATAAGCCTCGTATAAGATAACGGTGTACGTAATTCCAGCATTTAGATAAACGTTAGTTGAAGTATGCAGAACACTCACAGCAGTTGATGTTACCCGGCCTGTTCTACGCTTAAACAATGAAATATTATATTAGGCATCTTAGCTGAAAGTATAAATAGAATTGCGCTTTTGCATGAACAAATGTTTTAGACTTCGTTTAGCAGGCTTTAATATATAATATTATTAATATATTTCATATTTTACCATATAGTTATGTTAATATTAGCATTTTCTGTTTGTTTTCTTGTTATAATTAATGGTAATTAACGGGCTGCTATTATAAAAAAAAATATTGACACCTTAAAAATGTGTGTACAAAATAAAATAACCTCTGCGTCATTTGGCATCTAGTGGAGAAACGTCTCATTGTCAATCATACCTCACCTTCTTATTCTTATATTAAGTTAGCAAGCTCACATACTCAACACCCACTGTACAGGGGAAATGATGTATTGACCTGACGACATCTAGTGTTTTGCATTATCTTAAAGGTATGATTCTTTTCCGTTATGATTTCAGACCGTAAAGTTGTATAATATTAATCTTTTTCAGTAACTTTGACCTTAGACATATTGACCTAAAAATCAATACGGATCTTTCTCTTATTATATGAGACAATATATCCAAGTAATTTTAGCTTGCAATCCCAGTATTTGATTTAGCATCCGGTTAACACTTTTCTGTACAAATTCCTGAACTTAGATGTTGTGACCTCAAAACAAAAGGGATCTTCCTCTCATTATAATGACCATATATCCTAGCATGGTGTCAATCCGGTATAAAGTATTTGAAATAGCATCAGGAGACAAAAATGACTGACGGACTGATTGACGGGTCAAAGACTATAAATTCCTGATACTTCGTAGCGTGGGGTACAATGACATAACGGTACATTACAGTTCCGCGATAAATCTATGTATAGTTTAAGATTTGTCAGAGATTATATTTATTATTCTAATACGTAGAAATATATAAAAAAAAAAATGAAAGAAAACGTCCAAAATTATGATTTTTATATCAAAGTTATGTAGATAGATCAAATCGCTACTTATAGAGATTGAGAAATGCCAAGTTGGAATAAGAAATGGCAAAATGGAAATGACAAATTGCAAAAGTAGATTGTCCCTACCAAGCTTTTGTACGAAACTGACATTTGAAGCTCCTTAACTGAAGACACTTCTACCTGGAAGTTTATTATGTTATTTTACTTTTAGTTGTTGTTTGAACATAACATTTTTCTTCGCGTGATGAATTAGTGAAGTGCGACTCAACGTCGAGCCGCAAATATTCAACGTATTGTCAAGACCAATTTCAGTCACATGCAGAATTCATATCCTTTTTGTTCGTGAAAAAAATAACCACGGAAAATGTCAAAATTGCTCTTCTGTCTATATCATGTGAACAAACTTACCTCTTTGTTATGTCTATCCATTTGATGTCCATAGTCTGGTGGAGGATCTCCTGGCCAAAATTTATTTTGAAATCCAGAATTATTACGTGAATTTTGTCGCTGGTACATTTTTTACACTTTCCACACTTATATAGTGGGGTTAACATTTAATAACATTTAGCTTGAGTCTGTTCTGCCTCACTGGTTAGTATTCTTTCTTTTTTTGTCTCTTAAGTGACACGATTCTCCTATATGTTGACATTTAAAAATATGAAACTATGAATGATTAAGTGATACAAATATTTAAATGGATGATTGAATACATAGTTTAAATAGACTTAGTGTTAATTATAGATTTGTTCTTTCTATACGTTTACCATCTTCATCGTCCTCATGCTGAGTACAATTGTTTGGTTGGTATTATTACTTTAAACACTTAAGTCTTACTACCGAAGGCGTATCCGAAGAGCCGAGAGTTTTAATGTTCACTTAACCGAATGTAGAAGATGAACATTATTACAACATTTGAAAATTCGATTTATATCGTAATATTTGCTTTCCCCGATTAAACTCTAGTAAGAAATTGCCGCGATTATTTCAGAATTTTTGGAAAATTTCATATTCATTTAGAACCATAATCATACATAGATGACCTATAATTGCTTGTAGTATCCGAGAAACTGACTAACCACGAAAAGTTATCATTGGCTAACGAACCATGAAAATATGTTCAAGGTCTGATGATACATGCCAAACAGATTTGGGATGGGAGCCGATAAACGATTTTCTTGATAGACATAGGGTGTCTTATTTTGCTAGGATTCAAGGCCTAGACACAAGTAAATATATCGAATTGTATTTGAAGAACTAAAGTACCTAACACTTCAAAAGGGGTGGGATTATTCACAATATATATGATCAATTTGTTTAATATGGTTAGTCTGGATCACTTTTACAACTCGAATGTTAACTCTAATATATTTAAACAGTTTCTTGGAAGGCTTGTTCGTAAAAGGTAATATCAAGTAATAAATAATAAAAGCAGTCTAGATATTTTCTCTAAATTTAATGTTGCACAAGGAAGGTTGCCCTATCTGAAAAGCTTTGTTCCAAAGTTTTGATTTCATTCTCCAACTTGGCTCGCTTGCAGCATCATCAACTTTCGGAAAACGCTTTGTATTCACCGTATTCTCGTTAACTTTTTAAATTACAGTGGAATTTTTATATATTATTAATTCACTTGTTTATTTGCAAAATATACTTTTTCTAAATGGCTGATCGTGTTGGTATACACTCAGCTGAAAGTCGTGCAGACTTATCGGACGATAGCGTCCAAGATGGCGATCCAAGCAGTCGATCGGCCGCGTCCCCTACAAGTTCGAGTAAGAACAAGGATAGAAAAAGGAAACGAGTTATAAGTTCCTCAGACAGTTTGTCAGAAAGCTCGTCTGATAGCTCCGATTCAAGTAGCAGTGAATCAGACAGCGAAAGTGATACTGACTCGTCTTCGAGAACAAAGAGAAGTGTTTGTTCCGAGAAGGTATCCGCCATTACGACTTCTGAACGTTACAACCCGACTGCAAGTAGTTCAGCGGGAAAGGTGATATTGTCAAAAGAACGTTTGAAATATGCCAAAACACAATTTTCAACGTTCGTGAAACACAAAATTGTTGAAAAGAACATTCTGGAGCACGCTCCGATCCCCGACTATCCACATTTTCAGTGTAAACAAATAGACGAGTATGTCTATCTATAATGGACAAATTAAATGCCGATTTAGATCGAGGCGCTGAAAAGGGCATTCAAGGAGTCGAAAAGCGTATCTTCTGAATAATGGGCCCACTCTCCCAACTTTGGGAGATGTCTGATTCTATCAGAGAACATTCCAAAGAAAACCCAACAGTGAACAATGTTGACATGATAGCACACATGTGTCAATTAGTTGAAAAGACGGTTTATTGTGTCGGTCAGGCAAGTGTGGCTGTAGATCGGCAAAGGCGAGTTAACACTTTACTGAAAATGACTGAAGATTACAAAAAAGGCAAAGAACTTTTGGACAAAAACGTGGATGTAATCTCTCAAAGTGGAAATTGTTTATTTGGGGAAGGCTTCAAAAAAGTCCTCAAAAAGTCAAGTAAGACCTGAGAAGAAGCCTTAAAAATCGCCTTCAGTCTTAAAAAAGGAAGAAAAAAGAAAGGTGGTTTCAGGAAAAAGAGTCGAGGGGGATATCACCAAATGAACTATAACAATTACGACCACGAATCAACTCATGGTTCAAAACACAGACATGCCAATCCAAGGAGGGAAAGAGAATCGCCCTTTCAAGATGGGCTCTCAGCACGAGGGAGAGGAGATGGGGGCAGAGGCATGGCAAGAGGACATGGTAGTTCGTACAGAGGAAGAGGATATTAGAATGTCAGTATCCCTTAAAAATAAATCCATGTGTAATGAGAAAGTCTAGATTCAGGGAATCTCAATCAAGATTCATATCATTTACTGTCAATAATCAAGACAAATGTACCAAAAGTAATTCTGGACAAAAATTTTCAAATTTCACAAATTCAGTGCAACCAACTCATAGCAGGAAGGTTAAAATGGTTTTTAAAAATTAAACCGGCAAAAAATAACAGATATTTTTATTCTCGAAATAGTTCAAGGTTACAAACTAGAGTTCTATACCCTGCCATTACAAAGGCAACCTCTTCAATATCCAATGTTCAACAGAGAGCAATAAGATTCTCTAAATCAGGAAATTCAGAAATTGCTAGAAAAAGGAGCAATACAATCTGTTCACCAAGAACAGACTCAATTTTTAAGTTACGTGTTTCTGGTTCCAAAAAAGGACGGAGGAAACCAGTGCACCAAGAATTTATACAAAATTAATGAAACCAGTTGTAGGGTTACTTCGAAAAATAGGGATTCGTCTGATTATTTACCTAGACTACATCCTACAAATGGCAGACTCAAAACAAAAATTGATAGAGGCAAGAGATTGTACTCTTTTTCCCCTCATACATCTAGGTTTTTTTTATCAATTGGGAAAAATCAAAACAAATTCCAAGCCAACAAGTAGAGTTTTTAGGCTTTCAAATAGATTCTCAATAAATGCTTTTCACACTTCACCAAGTGAATGTTGTCAAGATAAAACAAGAATGCCATCAAATTCTAAATCTTCAATCGGTAACTGTAAGACAATTGGCAAGAATAACAGGCAAACTAGTTTCAACAATGCAGGCTATAATTCAAGCAAATCTACAATGCAGATATCTGCAGTTATTACAAATAAAATCTTTGGTAGATGGCAAATCTTACGAAACAAAAATACAACTTTCAAAAGGGGCCCAAGAAGAATTGGGATGGTGGATAAACTAGATCGATCAATCAAACGGTCGGGCTATCATATCGGCCACCCCAGACATGGTTATAACCACAGATGCACCAAACAAAGTTTTGGGGGCTGTTTGTGAAGACATAAGTACTGGGGGACTATGGGGTCTCCAAGAATTAAAGTATCACATAAACTTAGAAGAACTCTTAGCAGCATTATTAGGGCTAAAGGTATTCACCAAATCTGCAAAATGTTTAGCTGTTCATATGAGAGTAGACAACACTACAGCAGTAGCATATATAAACAAAATGGGGGGGGGGGGGGCACAAAATCAGGCACCTTAATACAGATGGTGAAAGAAATTTGGAAGTGGTGCAATGAAAGGGAGATTACTCTAACAGCAGAGCATCTCCCAGGCAAGTTAAATCACCTTGCAGACTGGGAATCCAGAAATACGTCAGACACATCCAATTGGATGCTGGACAATAAGATAATAAAAAGTCCTAGGCAATTGCGAAATAGACTTGTTTGCAAATCGCTTAAATTATCAAGTAGAAAGGTACGTCAGTTAGCGACCAGACCCAAATGCTGTGGCTACAGACGATTTCTCTCTAATTTGGACAGATCTAAAAGGCTTCGCTTTCCCTCCATTTTGCATAATAGGGCGATATTTGGCAAAAATACAAAAAGAAAAAGCAACAACTATTTCAATCACACCAATTTGGCAAGCTCAGCCATGGTATCCCATGCTATTAATGATGACGATTGCAGACCCAATCCGTCTACCCAGTTTTCCTCAGATTCTGAAATCTTTGACAGGTCAATTCCATCCACTGGCCCTGTCAGGGGCCTTTCATCTGGCAGCTTGGAAGGTATCGGGGGACACACAATTACAGCAAATTTATCAAAAGCAGCTGCAGAATTATACTCCAAAGCATGGAGAGCTGGTGTAATTATAGGGAAATTAATCCATTTCAGACATCTGTGGAAAATATAATAGAACTTTTAACAACACTATTCAATGAGCAAAAAAACAATATCGCACTATTAACACATATCGCTCTGCAATTTCCAGAGGTCATAACTTATTGAATAGTATTTCAGTGGGCAAGCATCCGGCTATAATCCATCATATGAGGGCACTATTCAATGTTAGAACACCTTTACCAATCATCTTGGGATGTTGACAAAGTTCTAAGTTGTATTACAGAATGGGGTGACAATTCCTCCCTTTCTATGAAAATATTAGTTCAAAAGTTGACATGTTACTCGCTTTAACATCTGCAGGGAGGGTTTCTGAAATCCATAAATTAAATTTAGATTTCATGTGTGATAAAGGTGATCATATTATTTTCAAAATACCTTCCCTCACTAAAACAGGTAGGCCAGGTAAAACAAAACCAGAATTAAAGTTTTATAAATTTGAAGATAATAATCTTTGTGTGGTAGAATGTTTAAGAAAATATTTAGAACTGACTGAAAAATTCAGGGATACCAATGATAGAATAAATAGAAATTGGTTGTTATTAAGTTTTGTAAAAACCTCATCATCCTGTAACCACTAGTACATTAGCTCGATGGTTAAAGTCAGTCATATGCTCAGCAGGCATTGATACAGCAAATTATAAAGCTCATTCAACAAGATCAGCTTGTACATGTAAAACTTTCATAGCTGGTGTGTCATAATCGGAAATTATGAAACAAGCTAGATGGTCAAACCTCACAACTTTTTCTAGATTTTATTGTAAACCACTGGCAGAAAGTGACTTTCAAAAAGCAGTTTTAATCAGGTAATAAATATGTATATTATCATGAAGCTTTAAACTAAACACTGGAATATCTTGTCGGAGGTTATGAAATAAAATTTTAGATTGCATAAGCACACGAAGTGTGCGTAATGGAATCCTAATTTTATGAATAACCGAAGACAAGATATGAAAGTGTTCCCGCCCTCCCTTCCCT